TAAGAAATGTCGAGATCTCTGTGAAAGGTTGGAGACATACGATGGCCGTTAGTGACGGTACGCAAGATTCTGTTCTGCAGAACCTGCGGACTACGAATATCCGTTTTGACCAGGAAACGTCATGCTGAACATGTTGTTGATAACCATCTTGTATAGCCGAAATTTGTTGATCAAACCTAATTTTGAGGTTCTGCATAGCATAAGGCAGAGTTGCCGGAACGTAGTTTGAAATTTGGCTTTTAATCCTTCAGAGTGCTTCTGCCAAGTCATTCTCTTGTCAAGACTAACACCAAGAAACTTGACAGAATTTTTACATGGTACTCCGTTCACTGACACCTCAGTTGGGGCGCCGCTACGTTTTGTAGTGCAATAGATAGCCTGCGTTTCGAGTAGTTAATTTTGATCAACCACCGATCCGCCCAATCCAGTACCTCATCCAACACACCTTGTAACCTATCGTGAACCAGATTCCCGGAACTTGACTTCGCCACAGGCGTCAGCAAATAAATAGACGTCATAGTCACTGGGGCAAGGGACGTCTTGAGTGAATAGTGAATACATGATTGGCCCGAGAACCGAACGATTTCAAAAACTTTAGGATGCAAAATGGAAAGCCCTTCTGAATTAACTTATAGAGAAAATGCTTGTGCCACACCTTGTCAAATGTTCCCGAGACTTCCAGAAGCAAGATATCGGTACTTTCGTTAAGGGTGAAGCCCGTGGTTACTCGCTCCACCAGACAAATTGCACATCAGGAATCACATGGTGGTCTGACGAGTAAACTCTCAAGCTGACGTAGAATTACCTGTTCAGCGAGCTTAGATGGAGCTGAGAGCAGGCTAATGGGACGATAATCCTGGGAGATATCAAACCCACATTCCTTGGAATCATTAAAGCCTCCACAGTCTTCCACGCGATTGGAAGTACTGGGTCCTTAGCATGGTATTGATTATTGCCGCGAGACAAGTCAAAGACTTCCGCAAAAGCAGCTTCAGTACCTTATTAGTGAATTGATCCTCTCCAAAAGCTTTACGCACCTTGATATGACCTGGAAGTTCTGCTGCTGTGCAATGCGGGATCTCGAAAGATAAACTAATGTGCTATGCAGCTCTTTTGTTGGAGAATCTTCAGAAGAAGAATCTCTTGAGGAAAAGTCATTAATGGTGGCGACGTAATCACTGACGTCATTGGCCCTGAAATATCTCCTGACAAAACTGACGATATGTTGCTCCTCGTCGAGATTATTATCAAGGTCATCGCTGGGAGAGAGCTGTCTTTCCATGGCATAAGCGAAAACCTTGACCTTTACCTCTGTCCTGAAGACTAGGCTCACAGGGCCGTCGGTACCCGGGAGGTGTTCTCGTTTTCCGTTTCTAAGTGACTTCGCTACTTTCCAGAGGGGAATACTTGAATCAAACATCCCTCCTAGAAAGTCGTTCCATTGCTCATTTCGAAACTCACGAAGAGCATTTGTTACTTCATGAACAAGATTCGTACATTCTTAGAAGGTTTGCCCACTTCCAATACAACAGCACGATGATCGCTAGAAATGTCGTACATGATTCGAGAAGTGGTACTGTATCTACAGTTTCTAGATATTGCGAAGTCAGTGTTATCTGGTGCCTGAAGGTGATTAAGTGGGTGATGCGTGGGCTCTTCAGTACTGGTGTATGAGGTAGCCGATCCGTTTTACATGGTTCTACAGTCGTATTCCGCCTGTGGAATTGAGCCTAGTGTCATGCTCGGTGTGTAGCAGTTGAAGTCCTCTGCCACAATAAGCGGACCCGAGTAGTCCATAAGGACTTACAGGTCCGCTTCCTTAGGCAGCAGCGGTGGCCGCAGTAGTAGACTCTTCGGTCTCCTGATCAGTCGCCGTGCGCTGTGCGGGTTCGAGTCCCGTCCCAGGAGAAATTTTTCTCTTGGCTATGGATGTTGTGATTGTCCGTAGGTGGTAGACGGTCTCTGACTGTCGAACGTGGAGGCACCACCCGGCGGATCTCGTAGGCGGAGCCAGAATGTGTGCATGTTGCATGCACACGTGTTCCATCGCCGAGTCCGTGTGGCGTTCCCCCTTTCTTCTGTATCCCCCTATAGCCCCATGGTACGTAATGGGTGTTTAGGCCTTAGGCCTTCGTGGTAGTTGGAGTATAAAAAAAAAGGTCCGCTTCCTGCAACCTGACATCACACCTCACGTACAATATGTGATCCTCAATGAGACATCCTGCATCATATTGACCATCAAGGAAGCCGGCTCAATGCTTTGAATTTCGGCATTTGGGCTTCTATGGCGGTCGATACCACGTTCCACTGCGACTGCCAAGTTAACTGCTAGTTAACCTATCAGTTTGTATAGCATCATAATTCAGGAAACCGAGACGATCTCCCGGATTAAGCAAGGTTTAATGCGGCAGCGCATCTATATTTCCATCTAAAGGAACTTGATGAAGTTTCCGTTTTTTATGGAATATCCCTGAGACCCAAACAATTCCAAAAAAGAATTTTGATAAATGCTGTCTGCTATTATACCTAGCCATTTCTCGGAAAGATCGCATGTGAGATCTGTGTAGCGCGTATCAGAGAACTAATTATCCGCTACAAGGACTTCAGTGCTGTTGCCAGGTCCACGTTTTGAACAATTGAAGGTGAGCTCGAGGCAGCAGGGGCAGCTAATGTTTCATGCTTTGCTGCGTCTGCGTATGATTTTACTCGCCTTTTTGCAAATACCTATAAATTTCTCTTAGTTGTGGCCGCATGGTCTCCTCCACAGTTCGCACACTTGCGCACCTCTTGTCCTGTTTGAAACCACAGATTTGTCATGTGGTCTTGAGCACATTTGAGACATTTCGGAGGTGCAGTGCAGTACGGTTGCGCGTGTCCATACCTCTGACAGCGGTGACTCTGGCTAATGAGTCGAGAGTTCTTGTGAAGCTCAACTCTGATAGAGAGCCGCAGCAGTTCGTGTCCGTTAAGCACTTGCTCTGACTGACAATGCCCTTTAGGCAATTCCAATAAAAAAACTCAAATATACTTCGAAGTTGAGTCATTTATTTTAACAGTGAGTAGATCTGATCAAAAGAAATGTTTTTTTCCTTTAACATTTTTGTGGTAAAATTAAAGTAACAAAGTTATAGCCCTTTAGAAGTTTGAGTACCGCCCTGTCTCAATAATAATATGTGCTCCTGTTTGGCAACAACGGATATAATCGGGAACAAAAAAGCGAAAGAATTTGAAACGCTTATCACGATGTTTTATTCATTTATTTTATTCAGTTGTATTCATTCGATGTGTCAGTCGGTAACGGGTGAGTGGTGTTTCTGCGTGGCTCAAACGAAATAAAAAATGGCACATGTTTACGAAAATGCTGAACATGATTCTTATTTTACAAAATGCTGCTACGGCAACACGGATTTATGCGGATCGGTTTCCCAATCGAGTGCAACCAACCCCTAGTGCCTTTGTTAATGTAGTACAAAGGGCTCGTGAATCAGGTGACTTAAGTCCTCACACGGGAGGGTATGTGCTCCAAGACCGCACGATCAAATACAGGTCCGCACTGAAATACTTGTCGGGTGGATATTTTATAAAACAAGGTAACATTTTTTTAAATTTTTTTTTATTTTTACACACATATTTTGGTTTATCTTCCTTCTACAATCATTATCTGAAAATTGATGACTCAACTTCAAAGTCACCCTGTATATATACCTGTAAATCAAGAAAATAGCTCGTACGATAGGCATTCCTAAAAATGATACGAATTGTACGCTTTTGAGGTACATCGGTTATGGTGAGAATTTTATCTGACGATGTTGAAGGAACCTGATAAAAACCTTTTTGGACAACAATCTATAAGTGAGAGTCTTCGTGCAGAAAATACAGATTTGCTTAGTTGGCAAGTGGAGAATCTCCACGCAAGAAATAAAGACCGCTCCCACATACAATTTGGAGTAAACCTGTGGAATGAAAAAATGACCAGGAACAAGAAATCTACCTGGACTTTCTAATAATCCAGCTGCCTAATTTGTTGGACGATGTGCTGATATTGATAAGGCGAGAACTGTGGCTACAACATGATGATTGTCCAGCTCACTACGATCGGCCTGTACAGCGATCACCTTAACAAACGTTCGCACGCCTTGACTACCAAGAACTCCGGACCTAAATCCATTTGATTTTTTTATCGAGGATGCTTAAAAGATATAGTCTTTCAAATAGAAGTGATTTTCGTTACTCATAAACGTGCGAAAAGCGAATAGGCCTCTCCGGAGATCCCGCAATGGGATTATCGCAATTATTTATTATTACAAGTTTTTATTTAACTTGATCTGTTTGTTAGTTTGGTGTTTGGTGAAGCTTGGAACTTCATATTGATCTAGCTAGTATTGACCAGTTGAGCTAAGGCTTTACACACACGTTCGGTATGCGTGACAAAATGAATTAACAGTCGCTATTTTGTAATCCAATAACTTCGGTATGAAAACGTAGCGCACCGCTACCCAAGATGAAGAAATTCAGCAAGCTTTAGCGTGGTGGTTTGTGTGGCGAATGACTGAGGGGTTTAACTAAGTTTGCCATTTCTGGATAATCTCACACTTCGGGCAGGAAGGGCCGACAGTGCAGATTGCCGCGTCAACGTTGCTAGGCAAAGCAGTGATGAGCAATCCAGGCGGCTCCTTTCTCTTTCTAACGTATGGGTCTATACACACTTCTCTCTCATAGACATTGAACTTGATCCGTTAGAAAAATTTGGTTCTCAATGTAAATATGTTAAATTAGATTAGTATCTCAAAAGCTGCTCGATAAGCTCAAGTTCCACTAAGCTCTGTTAAATAGTTGTATCAATCGACTCCTGAAAGTTATTATGTCTAACCAAACTTACGATACAATGTGAGCATTTTTAATCCAAAACCTCATGAAGGTGATTAAGCTCCTTAATCTCGAACTCAAAAACCCATTTAGGAGCATGGTATCTAAAAATGCGATTACTAGCGTGTGATATAAATATTAATCGACTCCGAGCTGGCCTATTCCAACTAGCAAGATGGGTAAAACTACACTCCTAATTATAGCTACCTTGTCGTTATGTCTCTGTGAAGCAGGTGTTATTAAAGAACATGAAAGGCTCGACTCTAGCCTAGTGATTTGCCCGACTATACCAAGTGATCCGTAAGTTGCAGTTGACAGTTTCTAGCAGCTGTGTATATCATTACCTCAAAAATGATGTAGCCTTTGTGTTTAATTGAACAAATAATGATTTGAATTAATGCTTATGGCGTAATTTTGTATCATAATTGTCTTGTGATTGTGAAGAGAATTGCGAACATGTTCTAAATTGGACGGCAATTCTAACTGATAGGAGTTTGCGACCATGTTTAGTAAGGTTGATCGCTGAAGAAAGGATTCTGCACCTGAGTCATAGAGAATGGAGAAGCTATCCGGGTCGCCTACATTATTTTTTTATGGTATCATGTATTTATAAGCATCTTTGCGCATTCTAGAAAACACAGTGCTTACAGCATCGTGATATCCTGAATCTTATAGGAACATACACGTAAATAATGTCTTCAATCAAGATAACGCAAATCAAGAAATAATGTCCTACGATTTCTAATATACACACAGTGCTCTTCGAAAAGGTTGCTTCCTTTACTTAGCTTTAGGGCCGTATCGTCAGTCGTTTCTACAATTGTAGGACGCCTTTATGACCTCCTTGATTTCCATAGTTTTTCCTGTTCTTCAGAAAGGCTGTGATATTTCTAGATTTCTACTGTTCCGTGTCAGCGTCAGTGCTCTCCTATTGTCAGGCTATGTTTTCCTCTCGAATTGTAGGAAATTTCAGGCTATATAACAGATGACATAAATCAAAAGCATGAACAGTTTGATGGAAATTGTTATTTGTAACATAACCTCAGAATAGAACGCAGACACGGTAGAGTAGAAAACTATGAAAATCAAGGATGTCATAAAGACGGGGGGTGACGAAATTACTGGATGGATGCTCTTAATGTAAAAAATAACACTTGTAAATGTCAAGATGGCGTCATCTTGGAACATTTTTTAAATAGAGTCTGAGGTTATGTGACACCTTATTATTGAGATCTATGTTGTTTTCACGAGTATCCATTACGGTAGAATGACAGATGATTATCTAGTAATATTTCAAAATTCCCCATATCGGCAAAGGACATAATAATTCCGGTGGATCCGTCAATGCCAGGTAATCCAGGTAGACAGAGCCATATTTTTTTTGTGTAGGATGCCAATTTAGTTTGTACTTGTTAAAAGCTCTTTTATTTAGAAAAGGTCATTTGCATACAAAGACAAACGCGTCAAACAAGTTTTACTGGTTTTACACCCTGTGAGGTTAAGTGGTAGAGTAGCCAGCTGGCTAAACTTCGCCTCGCAGTGTGGAGGGATTAATAAAGACATTATTATTATTATTATTCATTATTGCCAACGTGGCGAACTCACACAAAAATGTCACTTACCGATCGGCTATTTACCTCAGTAGACCTCAAAGCATGATAGATACTCGTGAAGCAGGGTACATAACTCTAGAATGTAAATTTATTATCTCTCCACGTGGCAGACTGACGGGTTGTCAACGTTAGTAAATATCGATAGTATGGACCACATAATATGCCTTAGCTATTTATTTAATTCCAGGAGTCGATTGCTGATTGATACAGAAATAGATGAGCCTGCCAGCTGGGGAGCAATGGAAAGAATATACGCCTTCCCGGAAGCAGGAGTCTTTTCAGCCAAAATCGCTTGTATTCTGGTAAGTGGGCATTTTTGGTAGATACATACTGTATGTCTATAACTACCAATAGCAGAACTTAACTGAATCTGATATTTAAACATCTTCATCATATGAAATTGAATTTCCAGAAGTTCTGAAGAACGGTTTTAATCACTTTGACTTAGTCGATAAGGCTAAATATCACATTTCAAGTAAATCGGACGAAATTTGTTTTCATTCCACACAAATCTTCAACCTCATTCCATTCCTTTAAGGGATAATATTTACAAAAACCTTTAAGCAGCAGTTGAATGATTTTAAAGTTTTGGTGCTTGCCTCCATAGTGAGACCTTACAGGTTAAGAAGAACATAAAGTTCAAATCTCATGTCCATGTTCATCGGTTTGGGTGTGTGATGACAATCAATTATTAGTCAAAACGCTATTTCATAGAATTATATATACTAAGTGACATATAAATCCGAACACCCAGTTTAAATGGTTTTATTTTAATAAAATTTTGTATAAGTACTTAATGAAGCATAATAAGTAAATGATAAAAATTTCAAAATGATTGCACTGCTTTAAACCCCTTTGACCTTTAATAATGTGTGGATGCACCCTGATGTGCTACGCATTCTCCAACGCGCCTAGGCATGCTTCTGATCAGGTGGTCAATGTCGTCCTGTGGTATCTCATTCCAGGCAACCACCAACTCCTCTCGAACTGCTTCTAGAGTCTGAGGAGGACGTTGCAAATTGAGCAATCTCCTACCCATCATATCCCACACGTGCTCAATTGGGGATAAGTCGGGAGATCTTGGTGGCCATGGTAACAATGTGACATCATTATGTTGAAAGAAGTCTATTGTGACTCTTGCAACATGTGGTCGGGCATTATCTTGTTGGAAAGTTGGATCTGCCAGGGTGTCAAGATAGGGTAAAAGATGGGGTTCTAGAACTTCGTGGATATACCGCTGCGCGTTCATGTTACCTCTGATTAAGATTAAAGGTGACCTGGAACCATAAGCTATAGCACCCCAAACCATAACTCCAACAGTGTGATGAACATGTCTTTCAAAAAAAAACTGTGGATTCCTCCTTTCACCACGTCGCCTTCTAACCCTGGCACGGCCATCATGCATACCTAAACAAAATCGACACTCGTCAATAAAGACAATACTGTTCCATCCCTGATCCCAGAGTGACCGTTGTCTGCACCACTCTAGGCGATTACGTCGGTGTTCTCGAGTTAAAGGGCGGGCCCAGTGTGGCCGGTATGAAAACAAGCCAAAACTTCTCATTCGTCGGTAAACACTTCGCATGCTAACAGGTCCTCCGTGTTCTGCAAACCATTCATTTGCAATGGACCTGGTAGTGGAGAAACGGTCCCTTAAGGCCAATAAACTTAGGCGGCGATCTTCACGGTCTGTTGTTCTACGGCGGCGTCCAGTGCCCCTTGCTCTTTGCGTACGGCTTTCTCGAAGCCATGCCTGACAACACCTAACCACAGTGTCTACACTTCTTTGCACTCTAACTGCAATTGCCCGAAAAGGAAGTCTAGCTTCCCGAAGTCCCACTATACGGCCCCTATCAAACTCACTAAGTTGACGAAATCGTACAGGTCTCCGTACTCTAGGCATCGTAACCGATCGTAAAGGATGTCCAGAACCAAAATCCGCCAACGTTGATTCTTTACTGCGGCTGAAATATTCATTTTTAGAGCATCAGTGAATTGAAAAAAAGCAGTATAAAAACCGGAATGTCCAACTGATAAGGCTGAAAACTTGTTTACTTGTTATTTACAGTAAGATAAATACATTCACCAACTTTTATTAAAATAAAACCATTAAAACTGGGTGTTCGGATTTATATTTCACTTAGTATAGATTTAGATAACTTTTATGTTCGTAAACGATAACGACGTCAAGGGAAATTTACAAAAATATACATACAATCCGTGAAAACAGCATCAAGACTGTCTATATCATCTCTGAGATTACTGTACAAAAAAAGCTCACAGACAAAACAGACAGAAATTCTAAACAATTCTTTTTGGCTTGTGACATGAGTACACATTGTTCTATCTACTACTGGCCGGAAGAGTGCATCTGATGAATAGGTTTTCCAGGCGTTCCTCCATTTTTCAGCCTGCGGACTTCTTTATGCCCTAGGGCGGTTAAGAAACTGTCACATGCTATGTTGATTAACCTATATTGCATACTATTTACAATATATACGGTCGAATACATACAATTTTGTTATACACATATTTCGAAAGCAATGAACCATGATACGTCTCTTGGCATGTAACGGCTTCCACTAACCGGAGAAAACAAAACACAAGCAAAATTGTAACTTTTCGCAAACTTCTTGAAGACTGGCGTGCATTTTTCCTATCAATTGTTGTAAATGGCTCTTCAGAATCAGAGGTAGTCATTCTCAGAAATATTTTAAATGATGTGCGATGTTCCCCATACAATCCAATATCATCATTTTGGTGTTAGCGTTTCCTGCTACTTAAAGATGTTTGAATCATTAGTAAATATGTACGGTTAAAGTATTTAGTTGACTTGTTTATATCAGACACATGTAGTCGTAGTTACAGACACAGCTAGTTTATCATAGACACTGTACATAATACACACTCACTTTTTTCCAAGGACTTCAGTATCAGCAAGCCGTAACCAGGTATAAAAAAAGCTTCTTCTCTAAGCGTGTGGCCTGGGCATTGAAGAAAAACTGTCCTTTGTCTTCCTCGCTACAGTCAATGGAAAAGGGCCGAAAACAAAAACAAAACTTTAACGAAAAGTAGCTCGCTTGATGGGAACAAGGATCTTCGGTTTGTTTCAGTTTTATTTTTGTTTTTCAGGATTTAGGAAACACAGACACAACATAAACTCATCGATCCGTTTAGTGAAAAGGATTTGGGGGAACAAGAAACCTAAGTTACATATTAATAAAAAAAACATTTTCATACAAAGGCATGCGACGTGTATATATCTAAGATACGTCCAAACCTAATTTGATTAACGACACGCTATAATTTATAACATGAGTGGTTGAGAGACCACGATATTCCTCACGTTTTCACGCCAAAAGAGCAATAAGCCATGCGCTCCCTCACCGATGAAAACAACAGATCTTTTAGTGATGGAGAACACGAAGATGGTTCTGGATTCAGTTTATATAATATATGAAGGACGGATACTTTCGACCGACTGATAACATTTCAGATGGTGACTCTGAAGGAGTGAATGCAAGGGAATAAATACATGTTTGCCTTATTGCGGTTGATATACTAAGTGACATATAAATCCGAACACCCAGTTTAAATGGTTTTATTTTAATAAAAGTTGGTGAATGTATTTATCTTACTGTAAATAACAAGTGAAAAAATTTTCAGCTTTATCAGTTGGACATTCCGGTTTTTATACTGCTTTTTTTTAATTCACTAACGCTCTAAAAAGAAGCCGCAGTAAAGAATCAACGTTTGCGGATTCTGATTCTTGACATCCTTTACGATCGGTTACGATGCCTAGAGTACGGAGACCTGTACGATTTCGTCAACTTAGTGAGTTTGATAGAGGCCGTATAGTGGGACTTCGGGAAGCTGGACTTTCTTTTCGGGCAATTGCAGTTAGAGTGCAAAGAAGTGTAGACACTGTGGTTAGGTGTTGTCAGGCATGGCTTCGAGAAGGCCGTAGGCAAAGAGCAAGGGGCACTGGACGCCGCCGTAGAACAACAGACCGTGAAGATCGCCGCCTAAGATTATTGGCCTTAAGGGACCGTTTCTCCACTACCAGGTCCATTGCAAATGAATGGTTTGCAGAACACGGAAGACCTATTGGCATGAGAAGTGTTTACCGACGAATGAGAAGTTTTGGCTTGTTTTCATACCGGCCACACTGGGTCCTCCCTTTAACTCGAGAACACCGAAGTAATCGCCTTGAGTGGTGCAGAAAACGATCACTCTGGGATCAGGAATGGAACAGTATTGTCTTTAGTGACGAGTCTCGATTTTGTTTAGGCATGCACGATGGTCGTTCCAGGGTTAGAAGGCGACGTGGTGAAAGGAGGAATCCACAGTTTTTGGTTGAAAGACATGTTCATCACACTGTTGGAGATATGGTTTGGGGTGCTATAGCTTATGGTTCCAGGTCACCTTTAATCTTCATCAGAGGTAACATGAACGCGCAGCGTTATATCCACGAAGTTCTAGAACCCCATCTTTTACCCTATCTTGACACCCTGGCAGATCCAACTTTCCAACAAGATAATGCCCGACCACATGTTGCAAGAGTCACAATAGATTTCTTTCAACATAATGATGTCACATTGTTACCAGGGCCACCAAGATCTCCCGACTTATCCCCAATTGAGCACGTGTGGGATATGATGGGTAGGAGATTGCTCAATTTGCAACGTCCTCCTCAGACTCTAGAAGCACTTCGAGAGGAGTTGGTGGTTGCCTGGAATGAGATACCACAGGAGGACATTGACCACCTGATCAGAAGCATGCCTAGGCGCGTTGGAGAATGCGTAGCACATCAGGGTGCATCCACACATTATCAAAGGTCAAAGGGCTTTGAAGCAGTGCAATCATTTTGAAATTTTTATCATTTACTTATTATGCTTCATTAAGTACTTATACAAAATTTTATTAAAATAAAACCATTCAAACTGGGTGTTCGGATTTATATGTCACTTAGTATATGTGGCTTATGTCTTTTTTAACGAATGAATGCCTTTTTGATCCCGTATGTTTGTCTGGCCAATCAAAGCGCATGTATTTAAAATACTTGTTTATTGTAAACGTTTCTTTACAGAGTTGACACTTTTTTTAACAATATATCATATTCAATATAAACTAAGTGACATATAAATCCGAACACCCAGTTAAAATGGTTTTATTTTAATAAAAGTTGATGAATGTATTTATCTTACTGTAAATAACAAGTGAAAAAATTTTCAGCCTTATCAGTTGGACATTCCGGTTTTTATACTGCTTTTTTTTAATTCACTAACGCTCTAAAAATGAA